TGTTAAAAAATAAAATAAAAAAAGAACTAACAGAATGTGTCATTGACAAAGAATTGCAAAAATATTTTTCTCCAAAATTTATTCCTAACTCAATTATTATAAAAATAGAATGCTGTTCACACATTCAGTAATTTTATATAAAATTGGTTTGGTTTTATTTTTGTAAACAGCGTCTTTGCTTTATTTCAGAAAATAAATTTTGGCCATATTGTCTGTTGATATTTTTTTTAACCTTGATATTTGCTTCTTAAAAAAAGCAGGTGGGACTACCTGCATGAAGAAGGGTCATAGTAAAAGATACAAAAACTTGATTTCTGTAACACTTAGGGATTAAAAAAAAAACAACCTTATTCAAATATAACATTTAAAAGAATCTAACAAATAACATAACATTCCATATTTCACAAGCCTTCAAAAAGGGGATTGGAAGGAAATGGTATGTCTAGAACAATGAATAAAGTTATTTTTTTTACTAGTGTTGCAAGGAAATGGACACTGGATTTTTAAAAATTAATTAACACTTATTTTGGCAAGTCATTTAACTGCCCGGAGCCTCCATTTCTTTCCCATGGGTAAAATGAGGGTGTCGATATTAGAAGATCCTTATGGGTCCTTTCGGCCCTAAACGCTTTGATTCGCCTTTAAAAACAGAGTACGTGATTCAGAACATTTACTGCATGGGGAAGGCAAGTGTTATAGTGGGTACTTTTTAAAAACTTGCTCATTTGGGGCTCAGTTTTTATAACAATTTTATTTTGATGTAATAAGTCAGATAAGGTTGCACAAGTGGGAATATTTTCTATGTATCAAAGAAGAGAATAAGGAAGAAACAATTGTGATGCTCACAAGGAACATTATAGAGTCAAAAACATTTGACTGCCAGAGAGAGGGCGAGAGAGAGGAAGCGCTCTAATTGGAGAGAATCATTGGAAAGGAAACTGTAATTTCCACCATTTTTATTCTATTTCTTTTCTTATCCTCCCCTACAAAGAAAACCTCAGTTCTAGTTTTCTCTCAATTTCAAAAGAGGTAGCAAAAGCCACAGCAATCCACTCACTTATGTTTAAGTAACAACCAAAATATTGAAGAAGCACTATTTGTCTACACATATCACCAATCTTATTTGGCACTGGGAACGCCGTTTTCCATATATTACCACCGTCAGTTCTCACTCTGCTGCAACCTACACTCTCCACCATTCATTTTTAAAAATCCATTTAACGCTGAGCCTTTCATCCAAATTCATGAACAATCCTTTCCTCCCTGCAACAGTGTTTTGAACTGCCCGAAAACAACCACCGGCTGAGTCCTGCGAACCGGGAGACAGATTGCAGACTGCGGTGCTGGGCAGGGCCACTCCTCCCTCTGTACACTAAAGCTTTCCACGTCTCCCGGGTGATTTAAGACGGTTCAGGATCCTGATAAGACCCCGCCCTGGAAGCCAAGACCCTGGATAGGGAGGAGGAATGAGGCAGCCTCAGCCCAGCAGAGTCAAGCCTTCGGAAAACAGGCTTCTCCTCTCCAGGTGCCAGGAGTGGCCCAGGCTGGGAGAGCGGCGCGTCTGAGCCAGTGCGCCCGGAGCCGCTCCCAGGTGGGTCTCTGCAGCCGGGGACCGCGGCTCCGGCTCCCGGGAGGGAGGGGGAAGGGGGAGGAAGGAGGAGGAGGACGCAGGCCGGGATCTCGCTCGTCACGACTCACGATGGAGGGTGGGAAAGAGGGAGGGACTGGAGACAGAAAAAGGAGTGGAATCAGGGAGCTTAGGGAATAAAGAAGGCGAGAAAAGGGAGAAGGGATACGGGGGGAAGGTAATGGGAGTGAAGAATGGGGGTGCAGGGGAGAGTAGTGTGCCGCAGGGGGTAAGGCGAGGTGAAGGGGGACGGATAGGGTGCTAGGGTGAAGAAGGAGGGATGGAGCATGGGGGTGGAGGAAAATGGAAATAAAGAGGGAAGAGACGGATGGGGCGAAGAGGGGAGGGGTGGGGGAACAGAGAGGAATGCGGGAAAGAGCGGGGGAAGAAGGGAAGAGGGCGCGGGCCGCAGGAGGCCGGGAGGGACTTCTCTCCGAGGAGGGCGGCGCCGGAATAACGGGCCCTCCCAGCCGGGAGCCCCAGGCCGGGCGGGGCGAGCGGCCAGGGCGGAGGCCGGGACGCTACCGGCAGGTACGGTGCCCGGCTTCTCCCGGCAACCGTAGCCACCGCCTGCAGGGAGGACACCGACTCCACTTACTCTCTCCGACCACCGCTTTGAGGCCAATGGGGGCCATCGCGCTGCTCGAGTCTCCGGGCTCCGCGCCTCCTCACGCGACGCCCGCGGACACCGCCGCCTCCCCGGGTCGGCGCGCTCCGCTGGCTGCAGCCCGCCGCCCCGCAGCCGCGCTCGGGATCGACTGACGCGCGGACTCGGCACGGGGGCGCGGCGCCAGCCAGAGCGAGGCTGACGACCCGCCGGCGCGCGCGCGGGGGCGGGGCCGGACGGGGGCGGGACCTCGCGCCTGCCGACAGCGTCACCCGCGCGCCTCCGCCAATAGCGCTGCGGCCCGGTGGCTTGGCCCCGCCCGCCGAGATGCGGCTGGACGCTAGGCGGTCCCTGGCTGGCGCGAGAGCCGCTCCCTCCCCCTCACCTCACGCGCCGCGCGCGCCCGGGCAACCGCGCGCTCCCGGGACGCTGGGTCTTAAGGTTCCGACAGATGCCTCCCCAACTGAATCCCTGGCCAAAGGTTACCGACACGTTCCATCTTTCTGAAACCCTGCTATGGACCTGTCTTTCCTGTTTCTGGGAGCCTTCCATTTTCCCCTGCCCACAGAAGGAACTCAGAGGCTAAATCTCTTAGTAGTACCCAGTCCCAGACGCAACATTACGTGAGGTTAATTGACACCATCTCTATCTCTCCGGATACCCATATCCATAAATCTACCATTCACAGAGTTCTTGTGTCAAGCTCCATGCTTTACATGCATCATCATATTAAATCCTCACAATAATTGGGCATTGTTTTTAATCTCCATTTTCAGGTGAAAAGAATAGGCTCAGGAATTGAGCATGAGACTTGCTCTCAGGTTGTGTATCATTCATCAGCATATGTTTATTGTTCTCCCACTACTGTATGTCAGCTGCTGTTCTAGGTATTGGAGCTCCGGCCACTTAAAGGCAGACACCGATCCTAGTCTTTGGGCAACCAAGTCCGGAAATATCTAGGTCCCAAATCTAACAGGAATATGCTGTGGGACGACTCTGGTCTCAGTATCTTCTTCCTGGAACACACATTTACCAAAGTGGTCCTAGGTCAGTTTTTTTTCTGGATTTTGTTGACGAGGGAGACTGCTTTTAAAATATGAAACAGGGTTTCCCTCTGGCTTCAAAGAAAAATGAGTTGAGCCAATTAAAAGTTAAAATGGATGGGAGAGCTAATAGTCATAAAATCAATAAATACTCATTACATTTTTGGAACAGCTCTGTGAGCTAGGTCCTTTTCTTAACATTACTAAGAAATATAATATTTTACAGATGAGGAAATTGAGATTCAGAATCTAAATTCTGAACCATTATTTTATACGAGCAACAACTAAAGACGTTGAGGCCTAAAGAAGGAATTTCCCAAGGTCACACAGTGAACACTGGCAGAGCCAGGACAAGAGGCTACATGTCCTACCTAGTTCAGCCACCAGCCCCAGGGCACAAAGACTTGACCATTTTCTCACCCTCATCTCAGTCTACCCCAACAGAACCTTCATATGGCTTCACAGAGAGGGAAAGTGTTTATCTGCCATCTCTTCATGTCTGGGCTCCTCCTTTACCCAAGGAAGGTACCGATAGCCTTGGGTTGCATTTGGAAAAGAAAGAGATAGTTTGTAAATGTGAGGAAACCTAGGACACATTTGTAATGTCACATGCTCCCTCCTTGACCCTCTGGCACATGTCAAAGGAGACAGTATTTTAGCTGAGGAGATGGACAGGAATCAAGCAGTCACACACAGCATTGAGTTGTTGTTCTAATAAGTGCTGAAGCAGAAGGATAGAGGGCTGCGAGAGCAAATGACAGAGCACCTGACACAGTGGACCAGGTGGGGTGCAGTCAGGGCAGGCTTCCTAGGATGAGTAAAAGGTAGCAAGAGGGGACTGGGAGAGTGTCCTAGGCGGATATACAGAAGGAGCAAAGACCAAGTGCCAGAAAGGAGTTTGACTTTTCCAGGACAGAGAGGGGCCAGTGTGACAAGAAGGGAGAGATTCTGAGGGACGGGGTGGGAAGGAAAGCCCCTAAGGCAGTCCTTGCTGCAGAGCTCTAGGACTTTTAAGTGGCCTAGAATCTGCCTGGAGACCTAAGGCCACAGAAAATAAAACATAGCAGCTCCTTCTTTCTGCAGAAGGAAGGACAAAAAAAGAAATTCTTCCTTGCAGATGCATATCTGAGATGTTTACTAGGGATGGCAAAAATCAGAACAGATGTTATTTTGAGTAGGATGGTTGAAAAAGCGAGTAGGATGACAGACTGTGAACTCACTCAGGAACCCCTGACTCCAGAATGTCAGATTGGAATCTATCTGGATGTGAAATGCAAGATCTGCTTCAAGACCTCTTGAAATCTGTGAGCCTTGATTTCTCTACCTGTGAAACAGGGACAATAAAATTTCCAGGCTTCTCTAAAAGAGTGCCTCTGAGGAGCAAGGAAGATGACCTACACGATAGGATAAAATCTTCCCTCAGTCACCGCACAGTATTATCTCTGCTCTGTATTCTTTATTTGCACATACGATTGATAACACGCCAGGAACCATGCAAACGGCTCATGAATTTTCATCGAATTCTCACTACAACCCCACTAGCTCTGTGCTATTATTATTCCGTCTTCCTGGGGCGCAGGGAGGTCAAGTAACTTGCATAAGGTCGCAAGGCTCTAAGTGCCGACCAGGGACTTTAGCTTCGACTTTCTGATGCCCAAGGGAAGATGTCCAGCGCCCAGACGCTGGCCCAGTGCCCAGACCTAAGGACAGATTTGGCTGTGTGGACTACCTGCTGGGGAGTATCAGCAAAGGGAAGCAGAACCTCCTGGAAGTTGGGACTCAGGCAGGTCCACAACCCCGCATCCCAGCCCAGCCTGAGGTTTGGGCGAGGTAGCAGCCGCAGGATGCGCTGGGTTGCTCCGCGGCCCCGCCTGCCCCGCGGGCAGGTGCGCCTGCAGCTGCGCATGCGTGGCCTGCAGCTTCTGCAGAGCCCGGGTGCCAGCCAGCCGTTGGGGGCGGGAGGAGTCCTGTGATTTACGCAAGGGTCACGTGACAGCGGGGAGCCTGCCTGCGGCTTGGGTACTGCACCAGGAGTCAGGCAGGTGGGCAGACAGATGCAGAGTGGAGAGGGGAGATGCTTGGGGGGAGGGTCGGGTCAGGGACTAGAGACAGGCAGCAGCATGGAGGGGCCGAGAACGGGGAGAGGGCCGGACGACCCAGCATAAGCAATGGGGTGGACCAGAGAAGGACTAAAGCAACCCAGTGCAGTTGCCTCCACGAGACTTCCTGATACCGCGGACTGACCGGCTTGGGTCCCCGCCACACCGAGACCTGTGGGAGAGCCCTGGGTCCAGAGTCTGGTCCTCTCCTCCGACAGTCTCAGGCTTGCACCTACCTCCCTTCTGTTTTTAAGCTGCATTATCAGCAGCAGCTGCATTTTTCTGTGTTCACCCGCACCCGCTCCTCCTGGCCTCTGGGCCTTTAGATTTTGTTACATTCTTTTAGAAGTAGTTTCTAAAGAATTCAACAAGATAATATTTGTAAGATTCTTTACCTAGTGCTGGGACTCTATTAAGGACCCAATAAATGTTAGCTATTAATAGCATTAATTACAACTTGAGTCAGAGTAAATCAGTTCTGAATACGGTTTTGGAGAGTTCAGTCGCTATCCTGCCTTTTTTGCTGCTGAAATTCACTGGCAGAGAATGAAGTAATTGTCTCCAACACAGCCACCCACCGTCCGCACACCTACAAAGAACAGCTGGTCCTGGAGTGCTTGAGTTTGGTACATCCTTGCCCAGAAGAGTGAGTTAACAGTTTTTTTGTGTTTGAGGTTAGAATAGTTATCCAAAAGGCTTTGTTTTCTAAAGCCCAGGCGGGGGTCTCAAATTCAAAGGACTGGAGGGGTAAGGCAGACGTGAGTGATACCACAGACGTGGTCCATGGCAAAGCATATACCTGGCCCCGGGAGAGCAGTCCTTACTCAGCTCCAACCGCTGGTTTCCATGCAGTGACCAAGGATCTTGATTGCAGAAATTTCAACATCTCCCAATAAGTTTGTGTTGTAATGAATTTTTTTAAAAAATTTAATAATATGACACTGGCTAAACAAAACACATCTGAAGGCCACATCAATCCCCCAGGCTCCCTGCATGCAAACTCTGGGGAGCTAATACCTCTTTCCTAAGGGGGAGGTTAGAGTCCCCTAAGCAGCAAATGCTGAGAGGCACTGACTTCTCCGCCACGCACACAGAGTCTCCTAGTGGTCAGGACTTTGGACAGGGGTAGTGGTGCTGTGAATGCCTGGGTACCAAGCACCAGGACTCCCCACCCCCACCCCCTGCCCTGCAACTTTGAGAGCCATGAATAAGTCCCTCTGCTCAGCCTGGCTCCAGGCAGCAGATTAGGGCCAATCACTTTTGAATGGACTGGTGAGCATTGTGGTGGAAGCCTCTGAGGACAGCTGTGTGGACTGCTCAGTTTTGCCTGGTCTGTGAAACAAGGAGAGAGCCACATACAAATGCCTCACAGATGAAGTCTCAGTGAGGGCTTAAAGCAAGTTTAATTCAATTTGGAAACATAAAGAAATATGACATTTTTTACACCTGGGTATCAGAGAATAATTCATGCCTTTTACACAATTTTATTAGATTGCCATGATATTCCAGAAGAAGAAGTTTTCATTCCAACAGGAGAAGTAATTTGGTTTAGATGTGGTTTGTTTTTGGCCAATGGGGCCAAAAAAACTTCATGGAAGAGGTGACATTTGAGTTGAGCCTGGAGGCTGTGGAGAGGGAAGATCAAATCCAACCAAAGGAAAGAGCCTAGGCCCATGGTTCCCAAACTGTGTGTGAGGCACCCTGGAGTGCCACAGGAAACAGGAGCACAGTGGAATGTTTTAAAGTTCGGAGAGGAATACAGTGGTGCTTATCATCTGCTGGACACTGTGAAAACTACTAGCTGGAAATAGTTCACAGTTTCAATATTAAACTCTACTAAGTTCCTTTCTGTGATGGTATATCTTTGTGAAGCTGAGTTTTCAGCAATTGATGTGGTAAGAAGCAAATAACTCATGAAAATCTATGTGGAACAAGAGATGAGAGTGTCGATGTTTGATGCGATTGATTCCAAGGTCTGAGAAGGTTCACATATCTTATTAGTAAGGAATGATGGTTATTTAAAAATTATATTAAAATTTTTTTCTTTCAAATTATGAGTACTGG